AACTGGGAAGTTGCCAAGCTAGTACAAGGATATGAATAAACTTGAGGCTAATATAATATATAACATACAATCTTGTAATTATTTTTAAATAATAATTATATTTATGTAGGGATTATTTTTTTTTTTTTGTTATGAAAACTGAGTAAAGCGGAAATTTTTTTTTTAAATTATTCATTTTTTATAATCAGATATGATATATAATATATATACATAAATATATACTTTATCTTGAATTATTATAAATTATAATATACACATTTACCAAATCCATATAAATATACAGGGTGATTATTACATAATGAACCACTAATTATTTCAATTAATATTAATGTTTTTTAAATGTTTTATACTATAGTTTCTTCAAGTTATTACAAAGAAAGTTTTTAATAATAATTTTTTTTTTTTTACATACAGTCGTTAATTAATCTTTGAATACAGGTTCGTGTTTATTTCTAWACATATAATGCTATCTTTAAGTATGATTAAAATGAACAACTTTTGGTGATTTAAATAATCATTTTAAAAAAAATTTCACATGTTTAATAATTAGATCAAAGAAGAAAAATATTTTTAATTGTTTGTACAGAAATTGGTAATTATGAACATTAGGTACCTATTTATAATTTAGTCGTTACAGTTTTTGATTGTCTAATTACACTAAAAATCAAAATTAATTTACTATTTAGTCAAAAACTGGTTTTCCGTAAAACTTTCTTCCTAATTATTTGGAAAATATTCATATATTAATATTTTTAAGTATTGATCCCTTCATGTATCAACTAGAAACAATTGTATTTTAAAATATAGTGAAGTAGGAAATCTAAGCATTTTTAATGCTCCAAAAGGTGATAATAGACGCCATAAAACATACATTGTTAAAAATCAATACATCCATTGATCTACTCAGAATCTAAAATGAAATTCAATAAATTGTATTCTTCGTTGTTGGTTTTATTATTTTTATTGTACTCATTAATATTATATTTAAGGTACCAATGTCAATGATCACATGATACGAGTTCATGAAATTATGCCAAATATATTTAATGATATATGGTTTTAAAAAAAAAATTAAAAAATAATAATGCATATGCAAATCAATGAAATTACAATATATTTAAAAAAATCTACTCTTTCTTTGATAATCAAAATAATAATATAGTTAAAATGATCATGGAATCAATTATATAATATCAAACAAAATAATAGTAGTATTGAATATAACAGATAATGAACGGGGGAAATAATAAAGATGTTAAAACATTCAATTGAGAATAGTATGACGATCATAAATATTTTTTCTTTGTTCTTTCACCTGTTTCTTCCATTTGTCTTGTTGATGACCAAATCGGTTGAGGACATTACTATTGTTGGCTACAGAAACCATTGGATCGCTTCCTCTCCTTGTATTTAAAGATACTGCTGGTGGGGCATCGTCCTATATTTCAAAGTAGTTTGGTAAAGAATGTTTGTTAATACATTTTTTAGTCATTATTCAATAATATAAATAAATAAGAAAGATAAGTACTTAAAAATTTAAATAAAAAATAAAAACAAAMACATGCATTAAATTATTTCTAAGAAATAAAAAATTCACAATTATTTTAAATTTAGTGTTTATCACAATTTTATATTCAATATTTTTATAACAGGCATTAAGGGGCCTACAAAATCTAAAAGACACGTCTATTGTGTCCAGAAATTAACATATTTAACAACATCAAGCACACTGATCATGATGATTACGTAAAAAAATGTGTACATTATTCTAATGACAGCCTAAAACAAAACAAGCACAATAATATAAAACCCAAATAATTTGTCCAACTACAACAATATTTACTGTATAAACCATATCTTTCGACGAATATTTTTGTAATTTTTCCAATTTATTTTGACATGGTGATGTCAAAATACTTTTGCATAACACGGAATGTTAGGAAAGAACTGCTGTTATTGTATATTTTGTAAGAAAAACTGGGAGAGAATTGGTTGGACTTACAAAACTATTGCTATCGGATATGGTCGCCTCCAATAAAGAACATACCTCTTCGTTGGTGTGCTCTACGTATGCGCCAACTAGCTTGCGTCTTCTTATCATTGGCTCCAGACATAGCAGGAATAACATGTACATCACCAAACATGATATCACAAACAGCACAATTAATACAACCACCTAAATAATACATTATGTCAGGATTAGTAATATATTCAACTTATGTTAGAATAATTTGTTACTTTCATAGTTGTGGTGTTTCTACTCTCATAAGTACAAGTACATCGTGGGCATAATTCTTTTTTTGTATTATTCACTTCACCAATAATTGGTAAGCTCACTCCGTTACAATCACTGAAAAGTAATTGAGTTATTATTAATAATTTATAACATAAATATATAAGTCTACGATGAATATTATTCAACTCACTTGCTGGGAAGAACATTAGCTATATATAATTTATTGTACATTTCTGTACCATTCACAATAGTACAGACACATTTGCAACGAGCATCTTCATATGATTCAGCCTAAAAAAATATAATTGTTAAATAAGAAAATCATATTAAAAGTGAGCATACCTAACCAAGACACCTGGTCAGTAGGGTTATTGATCTAAATTTATACTTGGGAAATTTGAACTTACATTTAATAAAATATGATATACCGTGAAACCTCTAAATACCGGACACTCTCGGGCGCTTAAACGTCGTCCACTATTTGGAGGTGCCCGCTATTAAGAGGGGAAATACAGTGAGTACATATTTCGCCGTTCTCAAAATTCCATCCGTTATTAGGAGGTGTCCGCTATTGAGAGGTGTCCGTTAAAAGAGGTTTCACTGTATTAATAGAAAGGTAAAAAAATTTAGTGTTTATTACCTATAATTTGTTTTTTCTAGGGTTCCAGATACACAAAAAAAAATTTTATTTTGTGACTCAAGAGTCATGAAATGTTAGAAAAACAGTGATCAAAACCATTTGTTAAATTATTTTTTCTCATAATATACCTAATCATAGTTTAACCATTACCTTTTATTTAATAATTTATTGTGAAAACGTCTCCTTCATCACTTCTACTCTTTAAAACATGTTCAAGAGCAAGGTGGAAAATTTAAAAAATTTAATTTAGTATTTGACTTACAAGATAAATAAATAAAATTCAAGGAACAAGTCATAATATAACATGGCTATAAGATTAATAAACAATATGTATTTTTTGTATTTTAGTTTATAAAATGTGAATAGGTTATTAAAAAAATATAAACTTTTATTCGATTGCATATTTTTAAATTTGAAAAGCTCAAATCACGAACTCTGATCTTAAGAAATATATTTCATACAGTAATTACTAGAGTTATGATGTTGATGAATTTTGCATTTTTTCCCCTTTGATTCTACACAATGCTATCCTAACTAAAAATTTGTTTCATTCTCTCTTGATGCAGAATATTCTGATTTTATATTGCATCTTTTGGAATTTTTAGCCATAAATGCATTATTTTTGTTTTGTTTTTTTTAATGTCATTTTTCAACATTTTAAAGTCATTTTTTCATCTTTAAAGACATTTATTGTACTCTTTGTACAATGTGAGGAATTTTTCTCAAATTATAGATTTTAGGGCAATTGTTTATTTTTAATACCTATTGAAATTTATTTATAAATTATTTAAACGCTTAATATATTTATAATTCATATTTTAAATTACTATTACACCCATATCTCTAATAAAAATTATTATTTATAAATACATTTTTTCACTTACTTAATTAGTTTTTTAGATAATTTTTAAGGTCATTTTTTTGAAGTTTTTAGGGCATTTTCGCATTTTTTTGGGGCATTTTTGTGTGTGTTTTTTAGGTCATCAACATCCTACCTCTAGTAATTACTTATACCTAACTAATTGATAGATGAATGGACATTATTATTGAGGTATGTCCAAAATCGTAGTGTAAAAAGCTTACCTTTAACAAGGTGATCAACGATAACACGCCCACCAAAACAGGAATCTGGATCATTTTGTGTTGACCCGTGATACCTAATGGAAGTTACGTTTGACAGTAGACGGTACTACGGTAGAAAAAAAATTATGAGCATGACAATTACTATTATTATATTCTTAGAAAACTTTGAGAATTTGGTGACCGATAAAAATATTAACAGGATCAACAAATAATATGTTTAAACACAGACTACAATAATGGTCGATTCCTACTGTTCAAATCATCAATAGGAATTTTCACGATTGGCATGTTGTAATATTTATTATTGCGATGTTGTGTTCTCGATAATTATAGTCATAAAATTAAAAACATTTAAAATTGGTAGGTAAAAAGTACCCTAATCTACAACTATATAGACATAGGTAGGTATAGTAAATAACAGTACAGAATTGTGGAAATAGTAAAATATTATTATGGGAAAATAATTAATATCACGATCCAAGCGCTATCATTTCTCTATCAGAGTTCAGATAAGGCCACAACGAAATTGTCATGGATGAGACGATAACTATTTTGTAATAAATTGGTAGGCTAGCTACATCCTACGTAAACGTAATATTGTTTTAATTTCTTAATTAATTTACCCTGTTGGAAAGTCAGTAGATCTAATTCTGAAGAAACTGCAGTTATTTTAGTGTAAGATATTATAACCATTTAGTTTTTACCAATAACATCCTTTTAACCGTAGTCTAAAAAAAAATTCAAAAACGTTTAGGATTTTTTTAAATTCTAAAATATAGACGTTTTTTTATGTTATTTATTTATGTGGAGTGTGTGTTTTTATTAGATAATAAATACATATTTAGTATAAGTGTAAGTGTAAGAACCATACAATGTTATAATAATATAATGTATTTTTGAATATAATTTGAATTCATTTATTTTGAACTGATTTCAAATTTCAAATTCAAAACTACAAATTGGCTATTTTAGTATTTTTAAATTTTTAAAAAGGTTTTTTTAACAAATTATTTCAAAAAGTATTGGAAATTCTTAAGTTTGTCTTTTAAAATGTATCATCTAGATTCATTTTTCTAACAGAAGAGATTTAAAAATGGGAATCAAAGTATTTTTTCCACTATAAAATATTAAAATGTGAACCCACTGGCCACTTCACATAAAACAAGAGCCAATCATTATAAAATTACACATTTATTATTTAGAATCCATAATGTATTAAATAATTATTTTGAGTTCAAATAAGACATAAACACACTATGAGATGAGCACTATAGTAGTTCATGCTAAATGGCATATCTCTCACTGATGTATAAAAATTATATTATTTTTATATATTTGTGGTATCTCCATAAACATATTCTCAGCAATAATATTGGAAAATATTGTGTTTATTTATTAAAAATGTCTTCCTTGTATATTATTTACAAATATAGTAATATATCATTACTATTGTATTTAATACAATAAAACAAACAAAATTGGGTCAAACACAATATTCATTTTAAAATAAAATTATAGGTACATCTATATATTCTATAATTAGAAATTGTATAGGTATATTATTGACATAAATATCAACAATTTTTTGGTTTTCTTTAAATTAAATAATAATTTAATAATTTACATGGTTTAACAAAGATACAAATATAACTTAAAAATAATCAACAATAAATAAAAAATATATTTCATAATATGAAATTATAAATCAAATAGGTAACGGTTAACATGAAAAATATATCACAGGCAATATAATCATAAGAATCTATTACTTAAACATTTAGGATACAAATAAGAATGTCTTGATTACAGTTAATAGTATAGAAAAGCTTTGGTTAACATCAAAACATAATTAATTTTCAGACCTTTAATAATTATTAAAAGTATTAGATATGTTTAAAATAAATATTTATCATAAATTCTTAGATATATAATTACGTAAGAATGTTATATTATAAGTAATAATCTAATGTAAATATCATAATTTTTGTCAATATAGATTTGATTTATTAAAAAATTATTGTTAAAACTACAATTATAGCTAATATAGTAATAACTCATAAAAACAATATTTATTTATAGAATTTTATTTTAATTCAAAATATAATAAATATGAGCAATATATTTAAAATTCTGGGTTCAACTAATTGTCCAAGGTTATAAGTCATTAAAGACTGTAATATATAAAATAGTGTTCAGAATAAACACGAACATCATAAAATATACACTACATTAACTGTAAAACTTAGTGTACATACATTTTTTATGTTTAGAAAAGAGAATAATCAGTCATCTAACTGATGTTCATCAGTGCTGAGCATCTCATCAGGTGTTAAAGTGTGATCACAATATGGTTCTCAACACACCAATTATATCATTAATGATGTGCAAAATATTATTGTCCTCCTTCAAGATAAAGTATAAGTAATTACATATATTTTTAATTCTCTTGGCTTATGATGTTGCAGTTAGAAATTATTAATTGTAGATTAAGTGTATTATCAGTTACTACATTAAAAACTTGTATAGTTTTAATTATATAAGTTCAAATTAAAAATAAATAAATAAATAAAATATTTATAGATACTTTTAGATAAGATAATTTGACTTACATAGTACACCAATTGTACATAGTAATTTTTGTAGATTAAAACCATAGATAATGTATTAAGCTTCTTCAAGCACACTCGTTGGCTGATACATTTTCAAATTTAAAACATTATTAAGATTCATTTATAATAATATTATCATAGTCTAATTCTCGAATATCAGTTGAAAACTCTGTAGTAGTAGACAACAAAAACTGATTTAATGTTTTTTCAGTACATTCAGCAATGAATCTCAAAAATGGTCTAATGTCTCCTTTATTAGCAAATTCCAAAGTTCGATAATACCTATTGGAAGAGTTAATTTAAAAATAATTTTTAAAAAAATGTAATAAAACAAGATAGTTTTGAAATATAAAATATAAATTTTACTTATGTCTTTCTCCTTTTGGTATAATAACTGGTGGATAGCCAGCTTGCATTAAAATCATATTCATGAGTAGACGTGAAGTTCGTCCATTACCATCCGTAAATGGATGAATATGTACTAATTTGTAATGTGCTAGAGCTGCAAATCTTACAGGATGTAGTCGAAGAGTAGATTCAGAATTGAGCCATAAAGAAAAATTTTCCATTAATGTTCCAATGTGAGATGGACCTGGAGGAATATGACCACCAACAAATACCTAAGATAAATACAAATAAAAATAAATGATTAAAAAAAAAAGTATTCATAGATTATTAATACTGTTATACACACTTGTGTTTGACGAAAAACTCCACTTTCTAAAGGATCAACAAATCCCATTACTCGTTTATGAATTTCCAAAATATCATCAACAGATATACTACCAAGTCGATTGATTAATGTTGCATTTATATACTTAAGAGCTGCTTCTAAACCTATAATTTCATTGTGCTCAGCAATACTTCTACCACCAATGGCCATTCTAGTTTCTAAAATAGATCTAGTTTCTGATAAAGACATTCTATTCCCTTCAATACCAACAGTATGGTAAATGTGCTAAAAAAAAATTTGAGGTTCCAGTTAACAGAAAAAATATACACAATTATAATTAAAATATAATGAATATTTTTTCTACAATATTGTCTTCAAAAATATTTGTAACATTCTTATACATCTTTTAAAGGATAACTACATTACCTAACTAGTTTTAATTTTATAAAGTATATATAAAAGTCGATTTCTTAAGCATGATCACTCCATTTTTATGTTTACATCATGCATATATTAAAATTTTTTAATTTCTAAGTGTAGTTAAAGACAATATTTTTAAAAATTTAGGTTTCTCACAACATTGCAGTAACATTCTTTGGCAATATTAATTTTGGTTTTTCAAATGAGAACCTATACGATTAATGCAAATCGTGAATCAGGTGATTCTTCTAAAATGACGATGTATGGCTATCAAAATTTGAATACAAAGTTATTAAATTATTCTTCTTTAAATACTAAGATTAATAGTTTCTTAAACATTTTGAAATGGATACATCCTTGTAAATCATAGAAAGTATAAAATATAAAATATTGTTAATAATTACTACTTAGTTAAGTATTCAAAAATATTGTCTTTGATTATGTTTAAAACATACAAAAATTATAAATTTAAATATATACATAATCTTTTAAATCATATCTTTGTTTTTAAGTACCTGAAAATATGCTTCTTTTTTCGCTCTTCTAAGAGCCATATTAGAATCTGATATTAAAGCCATTTTATCTCTTTTTTCGTCAATACGCTTGAGCTGTTGCCAATCCAAATCATCAACAATAATTTGAGTTCTCTTACGATTGATCAATGCCTCTTTATGTTTTGGACTATGTATAAGTGCCTGTTGAATATATTTTAAGTAAATTAAAAGGTCTAAGAAATTTATTTTTAATTAACAAACCCGATAGTACATCTGATCGGCTGTTACAATGTCGCCTCGAAGTGTTTCAATTAGTTCACCATAGCCATTTAATAAATCAGGATTTTTTGGAGCAAGTGCAATACCGTGTTCGATAAGTTTCAATGCTTTTTCACCTTTACCCATCGATTTCATCTCATTGGCAGCAACCAGTGACATTAACGCTTCTAAATTATCTTGATCAGCTATGTAATATAAATTATAATAAAATATATATGAAAAACAGATTGAGTCATTGTTTAAACTTACACACAACATCCACATCTGTTTCTCTGATGATTAGTTCATGAGTATCATGATACGAATCAACAAATTCATGATCATCAAAATCAATAATGGAAAACGGGCGACGCACGATCAGATGTCTGGTATTATCGTCAACATACGGCGAGTAGTATTTATTAAAAAATATACTAGACAGTGCTCCGAACAAAAATATTAAGATCACCGAATAATATTTATACATTACCCCATTGGTTTGGTATAATTTCAGAGTTAAACACTTCATGATTAGAATCTTAGATCATCGATATAATTTAATAATAAATAACACTTCACGATGGCCCGGCAATGTACACAACAGGGCTCGTTTCCGTCATGATCTTCGCGAGGGTAATTGATCCAAAAATGACTCTGTCCATAATTCAAACCTCTCAGTATCGATGATGAATAATAAGCATATTGTTCAGTGGATTCGTACGATACGAACTGAGATCATCTTGATCGTTTGATGCGGTGGCACATCTAACAACGAACACGTAAATCGAATACAAAATTAATAATTACAACATAGCCAATAGTGGCCAAGTAGTCTCATAAAAACGGATTTAGTTTTCATACATACTCGTCAGCCGTCGGTCATCACCGCCCACCGGTAAATCTTAAATTTGTATCCTATTCTGTGGTCCACAAGTATTTGAGTATTCAGAGTATTTGAGTCGTCACTCGTCACCATTGAGTATTAAATTTTGAGTATGTTAGCTCGTCACCCGTCATTTGTCAATCGCCAGCATGATAAGCTGATAAAACCATTATGAAGTTATAAATTATTGATAACAGTTAAAGATAATATAATCTATGAATGTTGCATCGTGCTCGCTTACGAGACCGAAATCGAAATTCAAAATTCAAAATTTAATATTATACCTATAGGACAAAATATTATTATTTGTAATATTTTATACTTACTCTGTGGTCAGACGTCAGTAGAATAGTAGAACACTCGACCATTGATATTTGATAATAACGAATAATTATTAATTTCCAAAACTTAAATGGTGTGACTTGTGTGTGTACTCGAATAGTTCTCATTCCGTTTATTTTTTTAGTTTCTGATCGTGTTTGAAAAACATTTTAAGAGCACTATGGTGTCCATTGGAAAGTGTCAGCGGTGGTACTGCTGTTTTCAAAAAACGTCCACTAAACGCTTAATAAATTCCTTGTACGGTGATTCGTCAAGATCAAAGTATTCCAATCACGGTATACAACTTAGGCATATGTCAAACGTCAATGATTCAAAAAACTCGAGTGAAACAGACGTAAAAAAATTGTTGGAAGACAGCACAGTTCCAGAAGAGTCATCCGTTGTTGGAGACACTGAAAACTGGACAACGTCTCCATACCCAAAAGGTTTGAAATGCCCATTCAAAACAGTATTTGATTTAATTTATCTGTTATTTATAATCAGGTTCATATGTACCTCATAAAAACCAGTCACAAGCGCAGCACGCTCTACGACCAAAGGTGGACCCCAAAGAAACGTCAATACTGATGTTTCCCGGCCAAGGTACCCAGTTTGTGGGAATGGGAAAAAATCTGTTAGTGTTTCCTCAGGTTGTAGAGATGTTCGATGCTGCCAGTGAAATACTGAAGTATAATCTGTTGAAACTTTGTTTGGAAGGACCAAAATCTAAACTGGATCAGACCATCTATAGTCAACCAGCAATTTTTTTATGTTCCTTGGGCGCCGTTGAGAAACTAAAAGAAGAGCAACCTAGTGCCATTGAAAATTGTATGGCTGTTGCTGGTTACAGTATTGGAGAATTCGCTGCGCTTACATTTGCGGGATGTTTTTCGTTCGAACAAGGTAATGAATATCTATTATAATCAGAATTTTAATTCTGCCATAAGCCTCTCTAATATAATTGTATAATTGTCGAGGCGTCAAAGTCTCTGACTAAAAGTTAATTTAAAAAAGAAATTCTGTAAAATTTTTCGACTTTTTCAGCTGTCAGTTTAGTTAAAGTACGCGCTGAAGCGATGCATTATGCTTCAGAAATTGAACCAGGTGGAATGGCAAACATTTACATAAGACCTGATTCTAAGTTAAATTATGCTTTGAAAATGGCCAGAGATTGGTGTCTGGATAAAGGAATTKAAAAACCAGTTTGTTCTATATCGAACTATTTGAATCCTGATTGCAAAGTGGTTGCTGGACATTTAGAAGTAAGGATTATTTGAATTGGTCTCTGATTAAAAATCTTTAGTACAAAAAATAATTTTTTTTGTTATTTTTGTACTCCTTGAATGATATAATAATTTTTTAAATAATATTATGTACTGTATTTAAAATTTTAAAGTTAGGTTTAATTTTCCTAGATTGTTTCATAATTAGACATTTGTTTAAATATGAGATCTACCTGACCTATAATCAATTCAAAACCAGTCAAATTAAAATCATAAGATTATTTTAGTTATAATTAATTAGTAATAAAAAAATACAATTATACAGGATTACATTTATTAATGTCAAAATCAGTCTAACAAAATATCTGTAAAAAAAAAAATAATGTGTTGTAACTCATAAGCTTTATTATTTAATTGATCATTTAATTATTATTAACTATTACTTGGGCTATGCATGAATGATGCATAATAATACAATTGAATAGTTTGTGTACAGGAGATTTTATTTCCAAATTTCTTTTAAATTACAGTATTAATATTGTGAGTGAAAATGTTTATGACTTAATGGATAAAAAATATTTATTGATTTTTATAATTTTTTTTTCAGGCATTAAAGTATTTGGAATCCAATCTAAAACAATATAACCTTAGAAAGATGCAGAGGTTAAATGTTTCTGGTGCGTTTCATACAGAACTCATGCGGCCTGCTGTTGAACCTTTTGCAGCTGCACTTCATAAAATAAAAATAGCAGAACCTATGATAGCTGTCCACTCAAATATTGATGGAAAACGTTATCATAACAGCAGCCAAGTGTTTAGAAATTTACCCAAACAAATATACAAACCTGTGAAGTGGGAACAGACGTTACACATACTATATGAACGTCCAGTGGGCTCAACTTTCCCCGATACCTTCGAGTGTGGACCAGGCTCAACCCTTAGAAGTCTATTAAAAACTGTTAATTCGAAAGCCCATTCTTCATGTCGGACTATTGATATTTAATGTACATATTGAGTAGGAAAGTAGCTTTAAAAAAAAAAAAAATGTATTTGTGAATCAACACCAGCTAATTGTTATAGACTAAAGACTAATAGATCAATTCCATCAATAGCTAATCACATCCTCTGAGATTTATAATAAACAAATAAACTTTTTATGGTATATATTTAGATACATGATATAAAATTCTATAATTTATAAAACAGTTACCATTTTATCAGAAATATATTATCAATAAATATATTGTCATAATTCTACTTTAGAACCCGGGAAATGTTTATATTTATTGATTATTCCTGTGAAGTTTTTAATGAAACAAATTAATGTGACATTAGTAAATTCTAATGTTGATCAGACTTTAAAAGCTATCTTTACGATCATTCTCAATGAGTTATGGCGCATATGATAATGAGGACTTCTGGTGATCTTAGTTTAATGGCCGAGTTATGTATATGATTATATAAAACTCAATACATTAAACGTTTAGCACTTTTTTTGTCTTAAGAGGTTTTAACTTATGAATTAACATTGTTGATTGTCATACAATTTTGTTATTTTTTAAACACTTAATTATAATTTAAAATTGTAGCAATGTGAAAAAGCAATATCAGCACGACTGTAACTGCCCAGTTGTAACCGAGTGTGACCGATGCGCGCCCTGAGATCTGCCTATATGCTCTATGCTCACTATTTAATGCTGTTTTACCAAAAAGTTTGATGTCCAAATCTGCAGTGCTGCACTACGCCTCTGTATAATTTGGATGCGTTTGTAGTGTTCTAACAAATATTATTTTATCTCAAATAGGTACTCCAAGTATGTGCTGTTTAGAGTTTGAGAAAATTAATTATTGGGTAAATCAATGTTATTGAGCACTTTTGAACATAGGTCAAAAAGTATGTATTAAGTCTCCATAAAAAAAAGCGTTACAATATATATTTTGTAAGTAAATATTCAAAAATTGTGTGTGATTGTTACATTATTTTTGTTGTACAAGTCCGCATACAAATCTTTGTTTGTGTCCTATATCTGTTCGACGTAATAAAAAGAATTAACAATAATAGCTTTTTTTCCAAGGGGGGAGGGGCAAAATAATTTAGACAAAATAAATGAAGATTTTTTTATACATTTAATGCTTACATTTTTAAAAGTATTTATATTATGTTTACTAAATCGGTGCGTTAAAAGTAATGTTTGAGAAACAAATTTAAAATTCTAGGGGGGAGCAAGTGCCCCGTCTTGTCCAGTCCCCCTGGGGACGCCCTCGTAAATATGTAATAATATAATATATATTATGTTCTTTCACAGTTCGCGTGCCACCAACGTACATATAAAAATATGCATTCACACGTTTCTACGCCAATAGTGCCAACTAAAAAACTATTGGTATATGGTAATGTATAATTATGGAAATATATAGCATTAATAACTTACTATTATTGTGATAATAATTTCCCAGTACCTACCCACACAATGTTATATTTCCTCAAAATTATAGAAATAGTCGTTATTCCGCCAACAACACCGTCTCGTTCGCGTTGGCTTGTTTTAAAATCACATATAGTTTTGGTAACTCAGGTAACTATAGCCGCAGAACGTTATTCGAGTGGGCAGTGAGCTAATACCTATTTTTCGAATAAAAACCAAATGTTTAAAAATACTTTTGYATACTTAACAACACTGTCTATATATTGAGTCCAGGTGTGGCGAACTTTTTTGGGCCTAGTGCCAAATTTTTACAATCAAAGATTTGACAACTTTATTGTTCACGTGCTCTGTACCCATTAAATAGAACATGATCAATTTTACATGGGAATATTGTTATTTTTAAAATTTGTTACAAACAACACTATACGAATATCGTAATTTTTAGCGTGCCATTGAAATTTGTCAAACTTGCCACTTTTGGCACGCGTGTCGTGGGTTCGCCACCTGTCCTCTTGTGCCGGAGTTGTGCATACGTTATGCCTATCGTAGCATTTAAGTTTTTWATCGGTTCAATATATAAATTATAACATTTATAATATTAATAGTATCGTATCATTATAATATATTTATGTTTATTGACAATAAGTCAATAGTAGTACAATAAGTACGTATAATGAATAAATATTAAATATTAAACAACTGTTTAGTAAAATACGTATTTACGTTGATACTACTGTACTAGGTAGGTAGGTATTAGGTACCTCCTAATAACGTTATCTGTACCTAAGTACTTTAATATAATTAATCAATATTGAACCTTATTGAGTTTAGAAGTTTAGATTAGATTCACCGTGTAAACGAAATAAATTCCGAAAACATATGACGACCATATTTCAAACTTGTGAACGAGCTGCGAAATAACGTATTATTTTTCTACAGACGCTTAAAAAATTTGATTTTATAGTTCCCGATGTAATACCTATTATTCGATATTTCGATGAAGGTAGTATAGTTAATTCCTACCCACATATTGTACGGGTACCAATTTTTTTTATGTATTATAGGTACGTTTATTTATTTATTTTTGTTATAACCCGACTGAATTTAGGAAAATATATTATCCTAATGGCTATAATATTGTAACGATTATATAGGCTTAATTTTATTCAATTAATTGTCCAATTATTAATAATTTAATGGATCGTCGAATATACCGTTATAATATTATATTCATTAATCAATAATCAAATAATGAATATAATATCTTGACCTAATTCTATGAAATAAAATAAATATTGTTATTGTGTATAGTTTTGCGTGTAGAATAGGTATTTCGAATTTTGATAATTATTCCGATTTCAATGGAGTAACTGGTGCCATCGTGTATTTCATTATGCGGTTCGGACTGACTGAAGCTACGTACAACGACGAACCGTCCTTCGAAATGGCTATGTCGTGCGGCACTTTGATGGCCTGAAAAACAAGACACAATAAAATTGTAATGATTTATAGATAAACATAACACCTATAAATATTATAAGGAACTACGCATTTATACGAAAGTTTGAATGTTCTGTAAATATATTAGATTATAATAAGATACAATAGCGGCGTGTACTACGCGTATCTGTGCCAAATATTACTGTAAAATATTTACATAATACGTGCGTAGTTATACATATATACAAGGTGTAACAGATAGAACTGACTTATGGAATAACTTTTGTTCAAATTAATATATATTATTTTTTTACCACACGTGCACATAATACCGAAGTGGTAAATTTTTTTATTTAATTTATTTATTCCAATATAATCCGGCCGATAAATTCAACATTCCGTTAAATTTGTGAACACCCTAATAGCTGTGTATACCAAAAAAAAATATTTTTTATTTAAATATTTCCAATAAAATTAGATATCGCCATTTTGTAGGGTTTATTTTTCTGAAAATATTAGCGTTTCAAAATGTTATTGTCCTTAATTTCCTGATTTTTAATATTTTTTCTAGTTTTGAAGAAATAAAATGTGATTATAATTATAGGCACACTGAAAGCGTTAGGTTAGTTTGTGCGGCGTTTCACATGTTTGATAACACTACGGTGTAAATAATTCGCAATTTTTCTCAAAACTAAAAATCAGGAAATTAACGAAAATAAAAATTTTGAAACGTCAATATTTTCAGAAAGTAAACTACAAAAAGGCTAAAGCGATTTTTTTTGGAAATAATTAAATAAAAAACATCTTTTTTTCTAACTTTTTTACCAAAACATTAAAATAAATTAAAATATGAAATAAATGTAGTTCTCATCCCTRTGAGTCTTATTACAAATAACCCAGCATTTTGATACCTCCATTATTTCGGCAGATACCGCAATGGGTAAATCCTCGCGGGACACCCTGTATATATATATATATATATACCATTTTTTATTGCAAAGTGTAATCATTATAATTGCATTGTAAATACTCACTGAATTTTTCGATAGTGTCCAATGATCGACAATATTCTCGGTCATAGGGTTTATGGTAAATCCTCGTACCGGTATCAGAGGTGATGTAGGTCCATTGACGGCGTAAATAAAATCACCTTCAAAATTCGAAATTCGAATCAAGTCAAACCTGCTAAACGACCCCGGAATCGGCACCATAACCCTTTTAAAAAACACCTGAACACATCATCATACCGTGATTGGTTATCGCGAACACCCGTCCCAAGTCTGGCTGTTGAATCGTTAACGGGGCCTGTTCTTTGCGTTCTGTCGAAAGCTCGGCTCCCCTGCACACGACTCTCATATCTTCGCGGTCAGCAATACAGACGAGGTCGTGTTGTTCGAGCAACGCCACGCTGTGAGGTACTTGAAGGCTAAGAAATTCTAATAATAAAAATGATTCATAACACGATCAAATTAAAAAAAACTGCACCATACTCAAAGTATAGATATTATACGACGGACGTTTTCTAAGCTATATATGCCTATAAAAATCTCAAAACTATATAAATATCGTCTTTCAGGCTAAATGTCTATGTAACCTGTATAGACAATATAATAATATATACCTATAGGTGCAATCTATAGCCTGTTGGCTGTTAACCTGTTCAGTTAGAAATTAACAAAGTTTAATTGACAGTGGAAATAACTTGGCTTTTCTCGGTTGATTTAAAAATAATCCATCGAAAAAAAAAACATTTTGAAATAATTTGTCGTCAATACGTAAATATTATTATGAAATAAAAATAATCCAATATGTACCTATTGTACTTACACAAACATTTCAGTTATTTTTCTTGACAAAACAATTTTGGAAATTATTGTAAAATATATTGATTGAATTATTGATCATATATTTAAATGAATTATTTTCATTAATTTTCCCACCTTTGCCTGTTTATAAAAATAAATTGCAAATAAAATGTTGTTAATAATTATCGCCTAACCATTTCATAACCAAAATTATTTTTTAAATCGTTTTTCATAGACATTTTCCACTTTGCCGAAATTTATAATAATGTCTAGACTCTAGACACCTATTTATTGTTGGGTATAGATATTTAAATAACAAGTAAAAACACATTTACACATTAATGGTTTTGATTTCACGTAATTCTATGTATTCTTATCAAATTTTGCGAATAAAATAAGTTATTCATACTATTCGCATGATAATAATATAATAAGAGTAAAATTAGACGTTTTCAACCAAATGATGGAAATTAAATTAAATTTTAAAATGCCCTCTACTATAACGAAAACAAAATAAAAATTGCACCTATGAATTTTGAATCGTTCCAGCTTTACTACTAGTTACCTATAATACAGTGTATGACATCCAATAAATATGAGTTACGACTTTACGAGTGATCAAAATTAATTGATTTGAACATTCCATTTTTAATGTATGTATATTATTTTAGTAATTTACCGTTGGCGTGAGGAAAAACTCGCAGCAACTCTCCTCTGCTTGTGTACTTTAAGACTCTAGAGTTGCAGTATCCGTCAGCAATGAAAATGTCACCGGTCGAAGCGATGGCCACAGAAGTAGGTTGGCACAATGTCCTGTATCCTTTGCCGTTCTCGAATCTCTTGCCAAAGGTTAACGACGCTCTGGGAGCTCCGGGCGAAAACTGTTTATTTTTTTTATCACCATCATTATTCCGTTATATGTCTACATGCGTTGTGGATGGGTTTAAATGTGTTTGAGCGGAAAATTATAATACACATATATATTTATTTAAAAAAGTGGTGTTTTTTATAACCTTAAACACTTGATGCATGGCCACATCTGTGACCCACACGTTCCCCTGGTGATCTATTGTGATGCCGTGGGGCATGTAGAAGAAACCGGCTCCCCAGCTAGATAAAACCTCGCCGGTTTTCGGACTCAGCGTGACGATGGTGTTTGTTAAAATGGGACCTTCCTCTATGTGTTGGAAGTGGAACGTATCGTTGAACGAACTAGACAAATTTGACCAACACTAATTATTGCAATGAACGTTCTGCAGCAAAACAGTGTTAAAGTGTTAAAGCGGTTCCCAAACTGTTTCAGGATCTTTTACAAAATGGTAGAGGAGATCCCGACTGTCAAAGAAGAGGAAGAGAGGGAAAGGCAGGCAGAGGAAGCCTAACGCGGACGAACCATGAAAGTGACGGACGGAGGACCGGTCGCAGAGGGACAATCTGGAATGTGATGGCTGCGAAGCCGGCTCATCGAAAAGAAAAGATTTGACGGTTTTTAACAAAAATGTATTCGATATTTCTACCGGTTTTTATAAATAACTTAAATTTTTCGTGTATAATAAACGACGCTGTCGACGTAATGCAGTTCCGGAAAGAAAAAAAAGGTTCCCAAACTACAGTGCACTGTGCACCGCGGTCTAAGTCTCGTAATAAATGTAAAGATTTTTTTTTTAATGCGTTATTACTTTGTCCTGTCTTTTTTAAGGTATTCACAGCAGGGCACCGAGGCTATATAAGTCAAAAAAAGGTCACCACGGAAAAAAGAGTTTGAGATCAGCTGGTACAATTGAATGGTTGTACTACTCACTTCTCGTCCCAGACACGGCTTCCCCGATGGAAAATCACAGGTTGTCCGACCGTGTTTATCGCCACCCCGCTCACTTGTCCGAGGCGAGGTATCGGGCTCCTTGGCCATCCTTCTACTTCTTGGGGCCTATTTATGTCCTGTTCATATTATATCGATTAAGACTATTGTAATAGCCGTTTATTACAAAACATTTAAAAGATATTATACGTAAGATATTATAATTAAAACACAATTTGACATATTATGTTTAAATATTAAAAACAATATATTATTGTATTGTACGGTTTTGTACATTTGTACCTACTCTATAGAGTATATATAAGTATATATAAGTAAAAATAATTGTAGTTAACACTCTATACTTTCAACAAAAATACTTGCTTACAGAAAAAAGATAACTCATGTGTGTCGACAAGCCGAAATTGGGGGGCGGGGATTAGCCCCCAATTTTATCTGTATCCCTAACCGTTTTTTAATCGTATTTTAGTTTAAAATATTAATTATCAGTGTTTGCAATGCTGCTGACAAATTCTAGCCCTTACCCAACCAATGTTTGTATATTGTATGTATTATATACGAAAATTGAAATACATATAAAACTATAAGATGTTTTGTCTCTTGTAAATGTATAAAATAATATTATATATTAATTTATAATAACATGAAATCAGTTACTTTGTTTTTTTGTTAATAATTATGCTCTTCAAATATAAATAGCCAGAAGAGATTTGACACTTTGCCAAGTATTCATATTACTGGTTTTTAAACCATATATTATAAACATTTAAGATTTTCTACTACCTAAGATTATTTCCGATGTTTATGCGATAACAAATCGAAAATTACTTTTTATAAGCGTTTAACGCTCAAATTTTTACGAAATTTGTATAAAATCTCGAAAATACATAATATGTAAATTGTTTTGTAGTGTAAAATCTATACAATTTTTAATTTTAATACTTAAAGCTGAAAATATAGGACAAAATTCTTTAAAAGTGATTCTAGTTTACTGGAATCAAAAAAAAAAAAATAATAATAATATTTACCATGCGTAAAGCCACATAATTTCTTTATGAGTGTTATATATAAGTTAATATTCGACTACATCGTAGTATATAAAACGTAGTATTTACGATTTTTGTTACAATTAAATAAGTATAAATTAATCGTAGAAATTTGAAACGGTTTTAAATCCTCTATACTTTATAAAATTATTATAATTACCGACGATAGCTGATCGAAGCTTATTTAGCATATTAAAATTAGCAATTAGCGAATGATAATCTAATAATTACAAAAACTCGTATAGCCATCATAGCTGTTGTGAATCTATATAGTATCCATAAATAGATATATACAGGGTTTCTCAGAAAGATCCGAAAAAAAATAAAATAAAATTATGCTATAATTAAATGAATGACAAAAATTGTTAATACTTTATGATAAGTAAATAATTTAAGAAATATAATCATGTCGGTAAATTCTCAAAAATCATATTTTTTAAAAAGTTATTACGTTTCAAATAAATTTAACCAAAACAATATTGAATCTTAAAAAATTTTCAAAAAATAAACTACTTTGACTGGGATAAATCTTTTTACCATCAACATTTTTCATATAGTCAGATTCACAAGTAGGCTATTTTGAATTTATCCAAAAATTTTTTTTATCAGTTTATAAGATTTTTATTTTCAGTATTAAAAAACAAAAAATTATACTAAAAATGTAGCCCAAGAGTTTATGAATTATATAGAAAAAAAATATTAATATTGAAAACAAAATTCCATATGTCAGATCATATACCTACCATCATATTATAGCAGGTTATCGACAGCCACGACAGGGTTACACAAGTTTATTCTAATTTTATTGTTTATTTCAATACAGTAGGTAATAAATTAAAAATTAAATTTAGAATTGTTTGCGCGCGATGACGAAAAAACATGCATCTCGCTCCATAACCCTGCATACTTATGTCGTACCTATGCACGTTCATCGGAGGTATCGTTGGTCGACAATATAATGTTATCATGCTATTATGCAAATATTATTATAATGTACTCGCCTGTGACGACAACGGCAATGACAGCGGCGGAAGTGGCGACGATTCAGTGGCGGTCGCACCGGAGTCGTCGACGGTTTCGCCACCGCCGTACACTACGCGCTTGATCTCATCGTAAAAACTGCTGTCCACCGGCCAACCGACGGCCAACACGGGGCACGTGGCCAGAAAAGCGACTAGGCAGACCGTGGTGGCCAACGGCCACAAGACGTACGTCGGCTGATGACCCATTGCGCGGCGGAGTAACTGTGGTCTGCGGGTGTGACGCGATGGAAGTGGGAGCGCGTGTGGGCGCTATCGGTACGTGAAATTTAAGCGTGTGAGGAGTAGTATATTATATTATGTTAAGACAGTGCATAAAATATTTCGTTATCTGTACATTGGCACGGCGGCGGCAACGACGTTTCACAATTATTTTGACCTTGGCGAAACCACCACCGCGCGGGATCAATAGGTATGCCACAGCGATGGTCGGTTTGATCGCCAGAGAGCGCCGTGTCACCCGCTCCACCCGCCCTTAAATTACACGCTTCTCCTACTA